AAAACTAATACTCTTCTGTGAGTTTTATGGAGTATCCAAACTATTGTACCCTATACCAGGAAACACAAGGAAGGTTTTTGGCATTTTACTGCATTTTGATCCAATGTTTTCAGACCATGGTCCACAACCCATTTAGCTGGTCCTGAAATGGACTTATTGATTCAGATCACTGTCACTGAAAAACGACATAGAGGAAAGCAGAATATAGTATACATGGCATATGCGTGGGTGAGTACTACTTTCTGCACTTGTCTTTCAGTTGCATGTGTGTATACATATTGATCAAATTCATTCAACCTATCCTTCTAGTAATTCCAGAACAGTCTTTCTAAAGATATATAAAAAATATCATTCTCAGTCTTGGACTTCTCCAAGTTCTTATAATAGCTAGAATATAGTCAAAATTCTTTCCTTTTTAAATTCTAGATGAGTTCTTTCCAAATTATTTATCATTATTATGATTTTTAATTTGCTACAGGGCATGCACACTCACCAAAGAGAGCTGGAGAAGAGAGAGAGAAAAAGTGAGAAAGGAAACTGCCAGGCCCGGGACTCGAAACGCAATTGGCCACGTGAGAGTCCAGTGCCATAACCACCATACCACCTGTTGGCCCCAGTCTGAACTCCTTCAATGCCAGTTAAGATCCTTACCCAGCCCCTCCTCTATGGTCCACCTATTGTCATTTCATGACATCGCTTCTACTCTGTTGCTTAAACTCAAACCCAGGTAGTTCTCTTTGTTCCCCTTTCCCTCCCCACTCCTTTCCCAATCTACCCTTTCTGTCTTACCTCTTTATTCTCATCTAGTCTGCGTTAAAGTTGACCACGTTGAGCACCATTTCCTAGCCCTTCAGCCTAACCAGCTTCTAAACCTACCACAGTCATTCTTTACCACCCATTGCCCAGTTCCAATCGTAAGGATCTTGTTTGTTTTTGTAAATGTGTTTAATATCTCCCCTCTGGTGTGTAAATTCAAAGGGGGAAGGGACCTGGGTTTTCTCTGCTGTCTCTGCTGCTGAGATCAGTTCAAGGTTCATGGTAGAAAAAGCATCAATAGATATTTATGAAATAAAAATTAAAGTCTGAGTTTATTTTGGTGCAAAAATCTTTGAAATCCATGCATGGATTTTTCTGCCTAGAATGTACTATAACCTGCTTGTTCCCTTCGTAGGCTTCTATTCATTCTTTAAGATTTCAGCTCCTTCATGTGAAATTTTCTGATGTCTGTGGACTGGGATCCTACTTGTTTTCAGGGACACTACAGCCTTTTTATTCACCGTCTTGCAGTCATTTTTACACTGGCCCTCCCCTCTGGACTGTGAGCTTCCCCTGGGCAAGACTGTTTATTTGTATTTCTTGTCTCTTCAATTCCTAGCACATACTTGGCACGCGCAGTTATTCAATAGGTATTTGCCGAATGATGGAATTAACAAATGAAAATAGGTGATCAAGAAAGACTATTATTTGTGGTGATGTTCCTTAATTTAACACGTAAATAAGATTCTTGATTTATAGAATGAGAAAAAGTGTGTGTGTGTGTGTGTGTGTGTGTGTGTGTGTGTGTGCGCGTGTGCTGGGGGGTAGAGAGTAAATGGTGTAAAATATAATAATTTTGTATGACATCCTTCTATTTATTAAATGGATCATTTTAAATATTAAGCTGTCATAGTGTATTTACAACCTGATATGACTGAGCAGATTTCATTTCCTCATGGTTTTTCAGTGCCCTGAGCAGAGTAGGAGGGCAGTGTGCATTTGGAAAAGCTTATGTACCTGCGCCTGCAGGGTGCAACCTGACCCATGCCAGAACAATGTGAGGGCTATGGGGACTTTCAGGTCAAGTTAGAGAATGTGATGAATAGAAAATGTAGGTAGGAGGAGAGAATTGTTTCCTTAGTGATTGTATACATTTTTATGGGACTAGCAGTTAGCATAATGGCTATGTTGTTGGACTCCCGTGTAGTCGACCATGATTCCTTTCCCGGACCCAGCAGCTTAAACTCACGCCAGGCACATGTGCATGCAGACCCAAGATCCCAAGAGGAGAATGGAGGAGAAGGGATTGCGGTGTGGCCATCCCCCCTGGGGGGGTGATTTCTTGCTTTCTGTCTCTCTCTGCCTTTTTGGTGAGTGCATGTGCCCTATAGCAAAAACCTCTCCAAAAGTTTTTTTTTAAAGATTGTATACATTTTGTTTTTTCCAGATTTATATTCTTCCTTAATAAATTTATTGATTGCTTTTTCCTATTCTTTTATTTCTTTTTAAAGGCTCTCTCATCCACTTTTAGATACTAGTTGTAGAGGACTTTTAAAGTGGAAGGAGGAGGGGAAGAAATAGAAGTGAAATCTCTCAAACACTTGGTTGTATAGGAAAACCTGGCTATATTCTATCTTTTTATTTAACTTTATTTTATTCATTCATTATTATTTTTTATTAGTTTGCTATAGAGCATGTGTACTTATGAGAGAGAAAGATAAGGAGAGAGAGAGGGAGAGAGAAGGAAAGTGAGAAAGCAAGCCACCAGGTCTGGGACTCAAAGGTCGGTCATGTGGGAGTCCAGTGCCATAAGCACCATATCACCTGCTAGTCTCTCTTTTATCTTACCAGAGAGGATAATATGAGAAGATCTATATTGCAAACAAAGCACTTTGATGGACAGTTCCTTTGGAAAGTGCCTTTTTCCTTGTGGATAGGGCTGGTTTACCTCGTGTGATTTCAGGAGGTCGTAAGGTCCTCAGCTACATGATTTCTCCTCTGAAGTTAATAGACTGCTCCCCTCACATAAACCATGACTAACTTAAATAAGCTCGGCTCTGGCCGTTTGTAGTTCTGTCATTAAGCCAGCAGAACTCTCTAGGGAATGGGAATTTTGATAAATAGAACAATAGAGGCTGTGGAAAGTCCAAACCGCATGAAGAAATGGATGTCCTTTGCTCAGGAAGAGACAGGACTCCAACAGGTGGGCTGTAAGTAGAAAAAGAAAAGGGATGTTACAGTTGGCCTAATTCACATGTATCAGAGTGATCTCCCCAACAATCTACGGGAGGCAGAAGAAAGGACTTTTTTAAAAAGAAAAAATAAGCAATGCTGTTTTGTAATGAAATAAAATGAAATCAATTAAAAACTAAGTAAAGACATTTCAAGGAATGAAAACCATCTCAAAACTACTTTGGACTCAATACCGTGACTTACTGAGATCATTGGGTCTTCTAATTCTGACAGTCCCTGTTTTCAGACTAGACATCCATGTCCCCCAAGAAAAGGCCACAATTGGCCACCCTGAGTGTGTGATGGGGCTGTAGGGCCTTTATTGGAGGTGCTCAAATTCTGGAGAGAGGGCACAGGCGTGTTTGACAGTGGGCATGTTTTGTAATTCCCCTTCAGGGCTGACTCCATGGTGCAACGGTGATGCGCTGCTGTGGGGGCCAGATCTTGAATGGCAACCATGGTTCGTGTCTGTGCCAGATCAGCCGGAGACATGTCGGGCATGTGCCGAAGTGTGCAGAATCCCACAAGCCGAGGGACTGCAGAGGGTAGAGTTCAGTGTGACCAGATCTTGTGTAGGGGCAACTCTCTCTCTCTTTCTGTCTCTCTTTTGTATGTTCACACACTCTGACAGGAATAAAGGGAAAAAAAAAACACCACTGTCTCTCTCATACCTGGACATCACCTGTATAGGCAGGTCTGTGATCTGTGGAACTCACTCTTGCCTTGTTTCTGGAGGGTAAAGCATTTCTTACTGCCAAAGACATTCTGCTCAATTCTGGTAGTCTTAGACGTTAAGAAAAAAGAAGCTGAGGGCTTGATATGACATTTCATCCAGATTTCCACCCACTAAGTAGAGAGTGCTAACATGTACTGAGTGACAGCCATGAAATTTTGGTCACGCTACTTAAGTTTCTGTGCTTCAGTTTTCTCTTCTGGAGAATGAGGATAATTTTAGTTTTACCGTATGGTGTTGTGTGAATTTAGTCATTAGGCTTCACGCATTTTTGACAGAAGGAGGCATGCAATGAAGTGTTGGATACAATGGGCATAACAGATAATGACTTTTTTTTTTTTTTGAGAGGTTTTCGCTATAGGGCGCATGCGCTCTCCAGACAGACAGAGAGAGACATAGAGACAGAAAGCGAGAAATCACCCCCCAGGGGGGATGGTCATGCCGCAATCCCTTCTCCTCCATTCTCCTCTCAGGATCTTGGGCACGAATGCACATGCACCCAGCCTGAGCTCTAAGCCACTAGGTCCGGGATGCGAACCGCGGTCGACTAGGTGGGAATCCAGTGACATAGTCATTATGCTAACTGCTGGTTCCCCAGATAATGACTTTTTGACATTAGATTCTCTCTTTGCTATCTTATTTAATTCTTGAAACAATTGTTTTATGGAGGTATTTGCAACCCATTTTACAGGTAAAGGAACTGAGTTACAGAGAGGTTAATCAACTTGTCCAAGGACATACAAACTTTAGGACAAATGAGGATTCAGACCTAGGTTGGGCAGGCACCAAAGCTCCCGCCCTCTGCTTTCCAGCAGGCACCTCTTTACTGCAACCTCAACCCTCTAAAAGCACCCACTGTATTCCTATAGCAGCTCTAAAAGCTTCTACTGTATTCCCATTGCAGCCTGTAATGGATCTTTCTGCTGAGTTTCTCCACATCCTGATTTTACGTTTTTTTTTTTTTTTCCCCAGCAAACTTTCCCTGGTTAATCCCTCCATCAGTGTAACCTTGTTAGCTTTGAGGACACACCCCTGGCTAGGTCTGGGCTTATAGGGCCACATCTCCCCACCCCTTTGCCCAGCATTGGTTTAAAGTGTTACCAGATGCCTCCGGTTCACTCCTTCTGCTTTTAGCCCTAATAGGGGCAGGAAGGATCAAGACTGTGCCCAGAACACACGATCCAAGGGTGACAGTAAAGGGGTCTTGGAGGGGCAGGGACTCCCCTCCAGCCCCTTCTACATAGGGACTGTTGGCAACCAACAAAACTCAACTGGGAAAATGAAGAACTGCTGGTAAGACCGTGGCACTGGAAAGTGTGGTGGGGGGACTGGATTGGGGACCCTCAGAACCAAGAGTCTCTGTTTTTTTCAGTGGTGAGGGATAAGAGGAGTCAAGGGGAGAGGTGAGAGACAGAGAGGGAGAGAGATACAGAGACAAAGACAGATGAGAAAGAAAGACAAGAGTGCAAATGTGAGAGACAAAGGATAGGCAGAAACAGAGACAGAGGAGAGATAGCCACAGAAATAAAGAGGCAGAAAATCAAGGGCCAGAGGGCTCAGGGATAAGGACATAGGTACAGTAACGGCAAGGTAGTAGCTATGGAGAAAGGGAGATGACAAAATAATAGGCACAGTGGAAGCCAGACATGCGAGAATTCATTAAATCTCTTAGTATGGTTTTAAAATCAAAATGAAAAACAAACACAAATCTGTATTGGGATCTGATCACCTACATGAATTAGGTTTGCTATAAATAGTTCCCATTTGGAAAGACTCTTGCTTAAGTCACTTTTTTTTTTTTCTCTCTTTACAGGAAAATTCCAGTTTTCTTCTTTGCATGCAGTTTCCTGGTACCCTGGGCATCTGCAACTGTCAAGCGTCGCCCAAGTAAGGGCTATAGTTTCTAGATTTTGAAATATCACTTTGTAATGATCACATGGGGCTGTGGTTGACTGAAGACTGGGTGTGGCACCACCCTCACTTTTCAATCCTGCTTTGGCCAAGGGGATACTCTACTTGTTAGTTTTCTGGGGTCAAAGATAGATATGGAAAAGAAGGTTCTGGCTATAAGTACAGTTGGCAGGAAGCTTAATCTGTGTGCTCCACTGCCTTGTGCAATGCCTGGTTTAGGAGGTGACTGTAAATGTGGGACAGAAGCGTGGATGCAGGGATAGATGACTGGAAAGATGGATGGGTAGGTAGGAGGGCCAAAGTGCTCTGAAGTCAAAAGAGGTAGAAAGAATATTTTTGGTGTACTGTAATGGCTAGGCCAAAGCTTTGTAACAGGAAAATGCCTTTTCTGAAATTTAGAGCGCCGAAGTTCTCTGTGACCAGGGGAGTTTCAGCAAGGAATTTGGGTTAGACAGGGACAAGAAGCCTTCAGTGCTGATGAAAAACTCTCTTTACAACCTTCCCACTTGTACAAGGAGCGCCAAATTGCATCTTAGGAGTTTCCATCAAATCAAGGGTTTAATCCTTCTCATGATTATTTTCCTCTTTTTGTTATTCTTCCCAATGTTAAGATGCTAGCAATAATATAGTTGGGAACCTTATTTAATCTTTTAGAATGAATTTATGAAATTAAGTACATCCTCTGTGTTTTATTCAGAATTAGCGAATCCTGACAAAGATTCCTAAGAACTTCCCTCTTGAGATAATCTTTTAGAATGAATTTATGAAATTAAGTACATCCTCTGTGTTTTATTCAGAATTAGCGAATCCTGAGATTCTCCCAGCCCCCTCTTCTGTTTGACAAAGATTCCTAAGAACTTCACTCTTGAGAAACTCCATTGACTTTGTCCAAGGCTGGCTCTAGATTTTCAATGAAATTCTAAAACTTGTGATGTGTAAGGAATATTTTCTCGCCCAAGCCACCAGAACATTTCCAAACAGACTTCTGACTCCATGCCATTCAGGACATCATGCAGCTCTGTTTCCAAGAGGAACAAATTCTTAACCTCCTCAAATGAACATTTTCCCAGTACCAATGATTATTTTTTAATTGCCAAGGATGCATGCACTTGCCAGACAGATGAAGAGAGTGAGAAAGTACCACCCCAATGGGATGGGATCAAGTCACAATCCCTTTTCAGCCATTTCTCCATCTCGTTGGGTTTCCGAGCATGTTTTTCAAACTGCAGGGACTTGAATTTGAACCACAATCAGCCATGTGGGATCTGGCTCCCTTAACCACTAGACTAGGGTCTGGTTCTCTCAACAAAAATTATTAAAGCAACTTGGCCTTTTGTATCCCTGCCAGAATAAGTTGAAGGCAAATTAATTATAATCATGGAGTCATGGAATTAAAGTCAAACACACTACTTGTCAGTAAACTGGTGTATTTTACTTTAAATAGTTGTTCAGTTATTATTATTGGTATGCTCTTTAATCCCTGTGGTAGGAGAAGTAAGATGCCATGCTATCTCTTTTGTAGGATTCCCTGTCAATTCAAATGGTAATGGTGGAAATGAACTCTGTCCAAAGATCAGGATCGGCCAAGATGACTTACCAGGCAAGTAGTAATGTATCATCAACAGTGCATACTTTCTGTGAAACTGGTGTGTGCTTCTGTTTGAGAAAGTCGTGGAAAGGAATGAAAATCAATCTCATTTTGGGTTTTCCATTTCGTCTTCCCTTCCTGTAGGGTTTGACCTGATTTCCCAGTTCCAGGTAGATAAAGCAGCATCTAGAAGAGCTATCCAGCGAGTAGTGGGATCAACTGCATTACAGGTGGCTTATAAGTTGGGAAGTGATGTGGACTTCAGGATTCCAACCAGGTAATCTATTCAAAGTATTCTACCTAATTATCTGTCACAAATCCATTTTTGAAAATAGATAGCTTTGTAATGTTAGAGAGTTTTCTCATGGTCCGTGTTCGGAGATCATGATTTGATCTGAAGATGAAGGAATTTATTTATCTACCTCTCTGCAGTGCCTGAATACTGCTCTTCATGCTTTCAGTATGTGATTTACTTTCCATTCCAGGAAAAAAAGAGTAGCACTGAGACTATGATACATTGATTCAGAACATGTTCTTATTACTTTGCTTTCTGTTTTTCTATAATTTGACTGAAAGAAACCTCTGTGTGAAAAGTGCCAGAGGTTAAGCATAAATTTAACCGGGAGCTACACAGTGGTTAGAAGGCTCACAATGGTGCTGTTCAAGTGTACTGGTCCTGAAATATTTAGAACCACACATCCAGTACCTGGCTCGTGACATATACCACACACAAGCAAAACAAAATTAGTATAATAGAAAAGTGGTAGTAATAATTTTTTAAAAATCCTCTGCTTTATTGATCTTTTTCTTTGGAACTAATTTCATTTTTCAGATTATTTATAACTGAGGTGCTTTACTGTATGTACAAATGTTGAATCATGTCATTGTTATGAATGAGCTGTAGGGACTTCGTTTTTAATGTCACCTATGTACTTTTTTGTGATTACTAGGATCATTATATGTTTCACTGTACTGAAAAACAAAACAAAACAAAAGCTAAGACTTCTTTGGTATAGGTGACAAGAAAATTAAGGCTTTTGGGACAGCAGGTGGTGTGATGGTTGGGGTGCTGGACTCCCACATGGCTGACTGTGGTTTGAATCCTGGACCAGACAGCTTGCTATCTTACTTTCTTTGTCTCTCTCTCATACATGCCCTATAGCAAATTAAAAAAGAAAAGAAAAGAAAATGAAATGAAACAAGTAATTCTTTAAAAAAAGAAAATTAAAGCTTTGATAAAAATTAAAGTGTAAAGGCACATAATAATGAATTTGAAGAAGATAATATTATATAAACTCAAACTATTTACAACAATTAAAATTTGGGAGCTGGCCTGTAAAGCAGTGGTTAAGTGCTCATTGCCCACTGCTGTTTGAATCTCAGCTCTGGTGGTTTTTTTTTTTTTTTTTTTAGAAACATAATTAATTAATTATTTATTTATGAGAGGTTTTCGCTATAGGGCGCGTGTGCTAGCCAGACAGACAGAGAGAGACATAGAGACAGAAAGCGAGAAATCACCCCCTATGGGGGATGGTCACGCCACAATCCCTTCTCCTCCATTCTCCTCTCGGGATCTCGGGCACTCACGCACATGTGCCCGGCGTGAGTTTTAAGCCACCGGGTCCGGGACGCGAACCGCGGTCGACTACGTGGGCGTCCAACGACATAGCCATTAGGCTAACTGCTGGTTCCCTCAGCTCTGGTGGTTTAAAAAACACACCAGGCTGGGGCTGGCAGGTGGCATGATGGTTGAGGTGCTGGGCTCCCACATCGCCGACCATGGTTCGGGTCCTGAACCTGGTACTTGCTTTCTTACTCTCCCTTTCTCTCTGTCTGTCTCTCTCTGGTCAAAGTTAAAGAATAACTGTAATAAATAAAAGTTAAACAAAAATAGCAAAAATAAAAAACCACCCACCAGGCATGTGTGTTTGCATGCCCAAAATTCTGATGGGAAGGAGAGGCAGAGGAAAAAGGATTGCAGCATGACCACACCCGATGGAGGGGTACTTTCTTTTTCTCTCTGGCAAGTACACCTGCCTCTGACAATTAAAAAAATAAAATTTTTGGTCAAATTAGAAGAACCCGATATAATATAGTGCCGGATAGCAGGTAGAAATTTATATTTGGAACATACTGTATTTTATAATACAGCAATACAGTGTGTTGGCACTTTTATACATTTACTATTTACTATTAATCTCATTCTCATCATAACCCTTTGGCATAAGAACAGTATTATCCTTATTTTATGGAGGAGGGAACTGAGATCAGAAGTTTAATTTACTAGTATAAGTTCAATACATTTGAATTTTAGACCAAAACCAGGTTGCTTCACTTCCTTCAGTTTCAAATGAGAAATAAGAGTAAGAACCATGTCATAGGGCGTTATGTGGAGTAAACGCGAACAAATGGAGAGTGCTCTAACAGAGCCTGATGCACAGGTATTAGCCAGGTGTCTATCAGTGGCAGGGAGCTCTAGAGCAGAAGAGTGTGGTACACCTAAGGAGAGTCTTTTCTCCCCAGCGGATCTTTTCTTTTTAAGTTGCCCTCCGTGTCCTATTCATTCAAAAGCTAGCTCGCTTACTGGGAGGGGTACAAACCAGGCAGCAGAGTTTCTGAGGTTGTGCTTCTAATCGCTATTCCATACTGACCCTGGCAAATCATTCATTCAATTCACCTTCAGAAAGATTAAAGGCATGACGACAGTTACGTTGACTTTTCTTTTTTTATTTGCTTGTATTTTCTTTTCATGTACAGAAATACTAGTTGTGTTCTTAAATGAACTTCTATTTTTGATTGCCAGAGGCATGTGCGTTTACTAGAGAGAGACAGTGAGACCAAGAGAGGGAGAAAGCACCCTCAGTGGGGAATGGTCATTCTGTAATCTCCTCTCTGCCTCTCCATCCTGTTGAGATTGTGGGCACGTTTTTCAGGTTACTGAAGTGGGATTCAAACTGTGGTTGACCATGTGGTATCTGGTTCCTTTAACCACTAGGCTATAGGGCCTGCTCATTAAGCAAACTTTTCAAATTTTGTGGACCAGCCCTGTAGTGCAGTAGTTTAGTGCTATGCAAGGAAAGCTGCATCCCACAGGCAGACTATAGTTTGAATCCCAGACCCAGTGGCTTGAAAAACATGTTGGGTACCTGTGTGTGTCTACCCCAAATCCTGATGGATGGAGAAATGGAGGAAAAACACTTGCAGCATGATCAATATCATGGGGGGGGCAGTTCTTTCTGTCTCTGATGAGTGTACACACCCACTGGCAATAAAATTTTTTTTTTATTTATTAATTTTTTTTGAGAGAGTTTGTTTGTTGTTCTGATTTACCAAAACTTAAAATAGTTTATCAATTTACCCAGGAAAATCCAGACAGAAAAAATATTTAACGTGTTCATTTCTTTTTTTTTTTTAAAAGAATTATTTATTTAATTTTATTTGTTCATTCAACCATTTTCATTTGACCAGAGAAAGACAGACACACAGAGAGAAGGAAAGTGAGAAAGCAAGCCACCAGATCCAAGACTTAAACCATGGTCAGCCATGTGGGAGTGTCTAGCGCCTTAAACACCATGCCACCTGCTGATCTGAACATGTCTTTTTCTTCACAAGATCTCAAATTGGTTTTAAAAAGCCATAATATTTTCTACCTTCTGTTCTTAAGAGCTCAAGTACAGAAGTAAACTTTGTGAAGCTGAGGTAACATTACAACTTTACCCCAGCATGATTGCGTAAGTGTTTAAGGTTGAGTGTGAACATTACTATGAAGTCCCAAGTCTCCTGATCATCCATTCCATTTGAATTTTAAACCAAAAGTAGCATATTATACATGTACCTGAGGGAAACATCTTCAGTGTGTCCATGGATGTGTGCGTGCATGTGTATGTGTGAGGAAGTGTAAGGGATGGATCTAAGTCTGAGAGAGACTGGCTGAATCACACTGGATAATGAATATTAGCAGTCTGTTTTTTCTTTCTTTAATAAAATAATCAAACACAATGCAAGAGCCTGTTGCTAATTTAAATTTTTCCTCTATAATTTGAGGTATTATATGGCAATTATTTCAGTTCAGCCATTGATCAACTCGAGGCCACATAATCCCTCTACCACCTGCTTATCTTTGAGGATATTTACTCTAAACAGTCACATGGGTTATAACCAATGTCTTATATTCATTCACTAGCTCCTTGACCCCTTGCCTCAATAAAGACTAGAAACGTGGGGCCAGTGGGTGGTATGGTGGTTAAGGCGTGACCTCCCACATGGGTGACCAGTTCGAGTCCTGGGTCTGGTGGCTTGAAAATCATGCCAGGCACATATGCATGCATGCCTGTAATCCCAAGAGGAGAATGGAATAAAAGGGATTGCAGTGTGGCCATCCTCCCAGGAGGTGGCGGGGGGTGGGGTGTGATTTCTTGCTTTCTCTCTCTTTCTGTTTGTCTCCAGCAAGTGCATGCGCCCTATGGCAAAAACCTAAAACAATAAATAAATAAATACTCTTATTTTATTGGTAAGGCTTATTAAGAGATGAAGAAGGGAGAAGGATGGAATATTAAAAAAAAAAAAAAAAAAAGAAAAAAAAAAAAAAGGAGGAGAAGAAAGAAAAAAAGAGGAGCCAGAGGGCTGAGCTATGTATGTTGAGTTCCAAAAAGTAGTAAAGTCTATTCTTGGGAGGTTACTTTGTTTCACTTCCTTCAGTTTCAAATGAGAAATAAGAGTAAGAACCATGTCATAGGGCGTTATGTGGAGTAAACGCGAATGGAGAGTGCTCTAACAGAGCCTGATGCACAGGTATTAGCTAGGTGTCTATCAGTGGCAGGGAGCTCTAGAGCAGAAGAGTGTGGTACACCTAAGGAGAGTCTTTTCTCCCCAGCGGATCTTTTCTTTTTAAGTTGCCCTCCGTGTCCTATTCATTCAAAAGCTAGCTCACAAAGAGGATAGCGATTGTCTCCCTCTCAGGCCATACGGGGAGTTGCCAGTCTTGGCTTAAAGAGAATTTCTATGTGAAAATACAGGTTCTGAGACAGTGAAAAGAACCTATTAAAAGAATCTTTGTGGGAACCAGCAGTTAGAGTAATGGCTATGTCGCTGGACTCCCACGAAGTCTACCTTCGCGTCCTGGACCCGGTGGCTTAGAACTCACGCTGGGCGCATGTGCGTGCGTGCCCAAGATCCCGAGAGGGGAATGGAGGAGAAGGTATTGCGGCGTGACCATCCCCTCTGGGGGGTGATTTCTCGCTTTCTGTCTCTATGTCTCTCTCTGTCTGTCTGGTGAGT